AGCGAGGAGCGAAAAGTTTAGAAGATAGGTAGGTAGGTGGTGTGGTGGATAGTCAGGTAAATTGGTTGGCTGGCAGGCAGGCAAAAAGTTTGGACATATTGTAACGAGACGAGGACGTCAAGCCCTGGATAAAGCCACACCAACCTGATCGTTGTACAACGTGTATTGCGGCGGGGGCGTATTGGGCGGCGGATATGGCGGTGGAAACTGCCATATGAATTGCTCGGCGTTGGCGGTCGTGGTGGCGGTGCCACCGTAACCGCTTTCGGGTGACGTTCGCTCGGTGCAGCCGTTGCCGAGGGCGGCAACGATGGTACTGGTCGCCGACTGGGTGGCCACGGCGCAGCAGGAGTCGACCGTCATCGTACTGCCCGTCATCGCCGGGTTCACAATACCGCCGTCCCCGTCGCAACGGATCGCCTCCTCCCGCTGCTGCTGTTGTTGTTGTTGTTGTTGCTGGGAGGATACACCGCTGCAGCACTGCTGCACTTGCTCCGGATGCACCGTGTTACCGTGATGATGGTGATGGTGATGGTGATGGTGATGGCTGTGCTCCTCGCGCTTCCGAAGCTTACTGCGGACAAGCCGTATGGCTATCATGGTACCGTTGCTCCCCACCATCCTCTTGTACTTCAGGTACAGCCTCGTGAGCTTCTTAGCGACGTTGGTGGGAATTTTCGGGCCGGTACGGGGGCCAGAGCTTCTCCCGAGGCTCTGTGGCCCCGAGGGAACTCTCGCCGCGACGTGAAAGACACGAAAAATAAAGGGAGCGGCTACACGCGTTCGTTAGCTGGCGCTCGCGCCCGCGCTTCCGTGCGCCTGCCTCCGCAGCCACAGCCGCTGCCGCCACCAGCGCCTGTCCCTTCCCACGTGTCTGTCTGTGTGCGTGCGTGCGTCGGTGCGCGCGAGTGGGCTAACTCGTACTCGTTGTTGCGTCCAGGCTAGAGAGGCCCGTCCACGCGCTTCTTGTCCGCTTTCGGCTTCGACTTTCTCTCTCTCTCTCTCTCTCCCGGGTCCTGGCTAACTGATTTCCATATTACGTCCGCGCGGAGAACACGCACGGAACGTTGCTTTTTCCTCTGCCACCCACCGATACGCGCACTCGTCTCGTTAAGAACCGCGCACCGATGCCACAACATAAACAAGCACCGCACTCGTGCTACTCAACGGGGCCCGCCGCCAATACTACTACTATTACTACTCGTACTGTCTCCAGAATCCCCTGACCGGGTGATGGGTCGGGGCTGGAGAGGAGTAGTCGGGCCGGTCCCTTATCGCACGATCGCGGCCTGGAGCGAGGGACGGCTTAACCCTTCACGTCACATCGGGGAGCGACCGAGAGGCTCGGCTCGGCTCCGCTCCACTCCGCTGCTCGAACGCCGCTGCTCTGTCTGTCTGTCTGTCGCGCGCCAACCGGACAGACGCGAGGCCCGACGAGGATTCTCTGAGCCGGTGGCGCTCGCGCGGACGCCTCTTATAAACGGGGGGAGGCCGGCGGTGCGACGGCACAGGCGCGTGTCCGGGGCGCCGGATTGGCCGGGAGGCGCGGGCCAATCGACGCCGCGGCGTCGGCCTCGCGCGCTCGCTTTCGAATCGACGCGCCGCCGCGGCAGTTTTTCGCCTGGGGATTGCCGCCGACGCCGAGGCGCACACTCTCCCTCTCCGCCCGAGACGCTCTAATCGCGTGCCGTACGAACAAGGAATAGACCGAGTGAGAAAGAGGGAGTGAACGCATTGTATTATTGGACGATACGGCGGCTAATTAGGCTAGGTTTGCGCGCTTATGGGGCGACTCTGTTTACCCGAGGGTTACCAGCCTTTTTCATTTGTATCATCATCATCACATCATCACATCATAATCATCATCATCATCATCATTATTATTATCATTATCATTATCGTCATTATTATTATCATTCTCGTTGTTATTATTGTTGTTATTGCGAACAGCTACTGTGGGGCGGCCGAGGCTTGTGACGGTCCGGTATATTCGTCCGTGCGACTCTTCTCTTCCGCGACGAAGTTATTGCCGGAATTTTGCAAGTTCATAGTTGCGCGCCTATGTCGTTTTATTAACGCGACGCCTACTGTCATACTTAGCACTTGGGGCTTTTTCACTCGCTTAAATCGTAGATATATCATAGATTTTACAATTTCTATTCTTTTTTGTTTCAAACACTTTTATTACAACCGGGGGCATTTAAGGCAACCAAGCAACTTATTCCTATGCACTTATATTGATAAGGATAATCCTACTTGAAGCGTGCAGTTTATTTAGTTACTACGAATGATAATGCGATACGTCTTTGACATTTCTATTTCGGTCGTTGCTGCTTCGATCTATCGAATTCTTATGTAATTCGTGCAAGCTGATTTGCTTTATGAGATTGAATCTTATTTAATAAATTAACGCACATGTGCCCGGTTCGCTGATAATTGATTATTTGATAGTTGAAAAACATTGTGCGAAGGAATATTCATAATTAATGCATTTAGTTCAATGTATTACGCATAATACTTCGTATCGCCACCGTTTTATCCTCTTTATCTTATTTGTATGAAATCTTTGGAATTAATTTAGTGCCATTTCAATAGAATAAATTTTTCAATTAACAATGATAAAATCTTCCGAGCCAATCGAACATTTTATAAGTTCCACAATTGCAAACTAATGTATGTAATGCCGATAAACCAAACATTTATAACTATACGCGTGAACACATGTGCAAACATGTGTAGACGTGTTCATGCGTGCGTCCAACGACATAAAAAGAAAAATCTATTTCGTCAAATTATTAATGCGAGATGTGTAACTCTGAGAGTGCACATGGATTGTACAAGTCGATTTTGAAAATTACCTAAAAATAGCGGGTTTATGAATTTTAAAGGCATTGCAGAAGTTCGTTATTCAATTTATTTTTAACCTTTCTCTACTCTACGAATGTACATGCTTCATATTTTAAACCTATTCTTTATACGCTCTGTTACAAGTAAGTCTCTGTTTTATTTTATTTTTTGCTTTGCGACCGCCTCTATTCCTTTCGCATTTATTTTCTCTCTTCTTTTTATTCTTATTTTTCGTCAACACTCTTCGATGCCCTTCGCCTTAAACTCAAGCCTATTGGATCTCGAGGAAAGAAACCTTCGGGCTAAGGTATGGAGTTTTGTCGCCACTAAGGTTTATGTATTGTATGTAGAGACGGCCTGTCGTTGCTTATACTTTCATTGTTTGCTAGGTCGCGGTATTAAGTGACTGTTTAAACAGACGGCGAGCGGCAATGATGATTTTATTTTACCAATGTCTCCAATTAGTAACCGTTGCGCCGAATTGATCAGTCATTTAGTCTCGCCCGGAGAATATTATTTGCAATTGCGAGAGTCATTATTGAATAAAAGGATTAGCTGCTTTTATTTTCCAAATATGAGATAATGGATAGCGGTGGAGGAGGTTTATTTATATTTTTATTTATTTATTTATTTATTTATTTTATTTTTTTTTTTTTTTGATAATTCGCAATTACATTGGTGTTAGACACTCGACGAGACGCTTTTAGGTTGGATCAATTGTATACCCATTCATTCGGACAAATAAATATCAAGCGTTATTAGGTTTTGTCTTTACATAAGATTTGACTCTGTTCAATCAATATGCGCAATTATTACTATTTTCGTCAAGTTATATAAAAAAAGAGACAAACTATAAAGAGACAAAGATAAATAATTAATCGTCACAACAATTTGTAATTCTAAATTAGCTTCTTTATGTAATGTTATAATGTAATAAAGATTTATCATTACGCGATAAAATTATTACCTCTTTTGTATGATATAATCAATTAAGTAAATAATAGTATCCAACAATTTTGCCGTTGTTTTAGCAAGGCTGATTTTCCACCTACTCGATGAAAATATAATTTATAGAAAAATCAATGATTTCATTATAACAAACAATTAATCATATCATTTACGAGGAAGTTAGTTTTTAATTAGTTAGATTAATCAATAAGCATCATTGTCAATTTTTGTTCGCTCTTGTAAATGAAATCCACCTTTACTATATATAGGTTAAATGTTTATCACAAATATTGAATAACAAAAAGTTTTTAACGAAAATTTACATATTTTACAATAAAATGCATTAAAGATATTTGCACGTTAAACAATAACACAAAAATTGTTGCTTCTTAGTAAACCTCAAGGAATTACCTATATTAAATAAAAGTAGTTAATATAGTAATAATAATTAATTCAGTAAGATATTAATTAAGAGTTTTTATAGAGCAATGATTCAGAAAATTTTATGACTAAATGTGAATTGCTAAAGGCGTTATTACATTTTTTTTCTTCACATTTGTTAAAATTCCGGCGAACTTTACATATACTACTATAAAAATAAAAATGTAAATTACTTGCAAAAGACGCGAAATGTCGATATCGGTAAAATATAGCTGGAATATTTCAATGTTTTAGACGGGATATTATTAAGGACATTTAATTATTCAGTAAAGATGTTATTTTTTAACATCTACGGCAGCAATTATTAGTATAAACTTATGTTCATCATTACATAAGCCGAATTAACAAATAGTAACAATTCCATGTACCTATACAACTTAGTGTTTATAAAAAAAATATTAATTTATTTGATTTAAGCAAATGAAAGTGTAAAGTGCAACGGAATGTCTCTTACTAAATATGTTAGATAATCTCTTAATATATTATAGATCTGATAGCAGTAGGATTATGCAATTATTTTATAATGATACAGTATTGTTTATACTACTAGAACTTGGCTTTTACATAATTTGTCAAATACTAACGTGTAAATAGTAATAGTGCAGCATGTTTTTTTAATTTAATTAAATTGCAAAAATAGCTCGATAGATTAAGAGAAAAAATCATAGCTTTATAAAATGTAATCAAGCACGATAATTATATAAAATATAATTAAATCATCATATATATATGTGTGTGTATATAATTTTATTATTTCAACTTAAATAATATAAACAAGATATGAAGAGCATATTTTTTCATAAAAATGCTTTTCGATCAGGACGAAGCTGTACAGATTATGTTTCTACTTTCAAATTAAAACTAGGTTACCTCATTACAGTAGCGGCATTATTGTATTTGATATAATATTGTGATAGCTTATTTTAATGAATAGATATTTACAAATTAACTTTTCACGCACACTTACCTAATTATGCATTTATTTAGAAAAGCGAGCTCATCGACATTTTTTTTACAGTATGTTTAGTAAAATGTCTGTATCTAAAATAGCTAAAATAGTAAAATTTAGTAAAACAGTAAGAACACCGATAATAATAGTAGTAGTAGCAGCAGCAGTAGCAGTAGCAACAACAACAATAACAATAACCACAACAACAACAACAACAACGACAAAAAAAATATTAATAATGACCAAATAATAATAGTTAGAGAGAATTCTTTATGCTATTGCATTTTATCATTTTCGTAACTGATTTGAATGACGATGAAGATAAATTTCATAAGTGAAAATACAAAGCGTAATATTACTTCAATGACTTAATTGGCAACCATTATTTT